AAAATATTTTGCTTATCTCTCATTTTGCATGAGGCTGTGTTATGGCATACTGTGATGTTCCAGTAGAAGCAATGGCATGCCAGCAAATATGACAGCACCCCGTTTTCCTCCCCTTTTCTTCCTCTCAGAAAGGAAACGTCCTACAATTGATCTGCTGTCAGCAGGCTACTCACTGAAACTGGAAATAAAAGTTCTCTACTCTGGATGCTGTGATCCTGCCAACTCCCCATTCTCCCCGAGACCTAAGTGACTGCTCGTGCTGTGTGGGGTCTATGCTGAGGTATGTGGATGGTCAAGGGAAGCCTCAGAAATTCACTGCTCACCTTCAGTGACTGACTGAAGGCAGGCAACAGTTTTCATGGTTGCTAGTGTGTGGCAGGAGAACAGAGAAAGAGGGTAACTATGAGAAGCCAATACCTCAGCCAAGAACAGCCTTCCAAATAAATGGAGATGCCCTCCCACCAACTTGTAATTGTCGTTCTGATGGCTGTCATTTTCTCAGCGTGCCAGACTGAACCTTAGTGTGTCAGATGCTGAAGCAGTAGCTATCTCTATCTATTTCATCTCTACTCTCTTCTGAGATGGAGTACAACTGATGAAAGAAATAAAGAGCTCTGAAAAGAGGAACTACAAGAGAAAGTAAGACAGGTAAGTAAGGGAAAGAATTTTTGAACCAGAATTTCATTGAACATGAAGGACTAAGAGAGAGATGAAAGAAAGAACTGGTAAATAAGAAGGATTACTTGGCCCATTATATAGCACAAGGAGAATTCAGGCTGCCTCGTGGATGGTGCTTATTGTTGATTCCTGTTCATTAACTTCATCCTAGAGGACTATGCAGTATTGCAACCTGCACGTTAATTTGGAGACTCTTATCTCTGTTAAGCACTGGAGTGCATTTGCACCGGAGCTTCCTCCAAAAGGAATATTGATGCACACAAAAACCATTCTGAGAATTGAAGCTATAAGCAATAGACAGTGATAACTGGGGGATTTGCCTCAAGACATATTAATGCTGTGAGCCAAGTTGCTGAGGCAGACACAGCCTTAGGGACTGACGTAGTCTGATTCTGGGGCTGGTCCATTCCAGGGACTGCATATTCTAGGGATGTACAGGTAGGGCCAGCTTGATTGGCTGCCTTTGTGCTGCAAAGTCCTCTAATATTCTCCCAAGAGGTCTTGCACCCTCAAATGCCTTCATGCCATGCCACCCCTCAGGTAACACAAAACATGCCATCAGTATCATGATAAAAAGAAAAAAAGGGATTCTGATGGATTATGACTGCCTCTTATTATTTTGGGCCCTTTGAAATGGAAAATCATTCTCCATTGCTGCCCTAATAAAATTATTCTAGAGTCACAAGTGTACGACATGCGCCCCAGGCAGGGAGCGTGCCTGATACTATGCAGCATGAACACGACTAGTCAGGTATAGAGGGAGAGACAGAAGGACTGACAGAAGGACTCTCCTCCGTTTGGTTCAAGGACAGGAAATCACTGTCTTGAGTGGAGGACTTTGAAGAGTTGACAGAGTTTATCTGTGTTGCTTTACTAACAGATTTTCTCTTTCACTATCAACTTTACTTCTCTTTGAAATGAAGAACATCTTTTATGGGATACTGTCAAACTGTTATACTTTGTAGGTAAGCATAAGGATTTATTTTTAAAGTGCTGATCTTAGAGTGGCAGAAAAGGGTCTTAGGTGTTTCAGAAGTCCAGATGTTTAAGCAGTTAGTGTTTTGCAAGTTTGGTAATCTTATTAGTAATGTGCTCTTATCTCCCCTTAGCTAGTTTTTCTAACTTAGAGGGGAACTTTTTCTATCTCTTCAGGGAGTATAGAGTGTCTCTCCAGGACAATATAGTACCTCTACTGCAGCATGTCCGTATGGCAAAAAGCATAGCATAGACAAATTAAAGTCCATTGGTAGCAATGCTTTCTGAAGAAATAGCTACTGAATACTACTCTGTGTGCTTTAGAATACAGAGCAATAGCTTCCAAAACCGACAAAACACGGTCCACAGCCTGAGACAATTTATAATCTATGAAGCTGTAGTAGAGGGCGGGGAGAAGAAGTAACTGTTACCTTCTGAGCTGCTAAATTTTGAGTCAGATAAGTTTATATTTTAGTCAAGTCTTGACTCAGATATAATGGATTATATGCACACAGACTATACGCGTATAGTACTTTCAGGAAGAAACATTTTCAAAAATGATGTGGCAAGATATCCAGAACATAAATTTAATTTTCAGAAATCATCAGGAAGAAAAAGGTAGGAAAGAAAAGGAAGTCATAGTCAGTGCAGGCAGGGATTCATTCAGGAGCATAATTTTTCAAGGCAGACACTTGAATGTAACAGGGATAGTGGCATGTCCGCTGTTCCCTGGACATTAGCAACGTTGAACGACTTGCTGTGAAAACTGAACAAAGCAGTGGCAGGTAAGACAATGGTACAAAATATGAGCCGTGGACATGATTGTGAGCCTATTTGTCCATGTGATTAATGGAATAAGCCCATTCCAGGGAATGAAGAGTGTTAACAAGACCTTTGCAGAGCCTGTGAAATGAGCCCAGTGATTGGCATTACACGGAGGTGCAGAAAGTCCAAGAATTCATGTAGCTGTCAACATTTCTTGGGAAATATCAATAGAAAGTACTGGGTAATTGAACAAGAGATCTAACACATGCACTCTTTCTGTAAACAGAGCTACAAGCCACAGGATCCACCAGCTCCAGCTCTGTAAAATTCTTGGTAGAGGAATGGGAAGGAAAGAAATTAGCGGTAAACTATGTGATAAAATTCTCTGCGTGAAGTATGACTCACTATTTCCAGTTAACCAATTTCACTACAGTGAGTAAAAAAACCACTTTACCTGGTCATCCATGAGGAGACAGAGATGTAATTTTGCAAATGGTCCATGTGTCAAATGATATCTACAAATTAATCGTACTCATGGCTGAAGACAGGGTCCTTGCTCCACAGACCTCCTTATCGGCCGTGACTGTTCAGCAACAACTTACTCTAAAAACTGATCCCATTTTCCTCTCTGGGAAAATTGTTAATCTGCTTTGATGTGATCTTTGTTCAATGACACTGGGATTCTTTCCCGCAAGATCTCCATGACAGTGCAGTAGCTAGCTTCTTTTGGCCCTTTTTGAAAACTGTTTTGTTTTGTTACAGAGAGGACAGGCCACTGCTAAGATGAAATCAATGGTTCATGTATTCTGACAGTTTTAATAGCCCTTGTATCCAAAGTTCTCCTTCAGCCTGAAGGACAAGATCTCTTGATTTACCATTCCTTGCTGAACACACAAGAAGCTGTTCTCCTTTAGCTTTTGCACAGTTCACATTTGGTACTAGAGAGAGACTCCTGACCCTTGAACCGAGAAAACATTCAGGTGATGGTCACGTTGATAATTTATCAGCTGTAGTTTTGGGGATGATGTTTTTCTTTCAGATGTGCCCCCAACTGCCTTATTAGCTAAGTTTCATCATAAAAACGCTCTCAATATACTTTAATTATAAAATATCTATCAGAAATTACAATAAAATGATGTTCATATAAACCAGAAATCCCTCAGCTAAATGGTAATGTGGAAGTATTTCCCATTAGTTATATCACTTTTCAGTGTTATTTTTGAAATATTTCTGCCTCTACTTCCTAGCAGTCAAAACTATGGACCAAATCCTGCCATCTGCTTGCGTAGTCTTAGTGGCTCTTTCTAAAAGCAGTAAATCAAGGCAAAAGTTCAGATTAAAAGGTGAAATATATATTTATTAGACAAACAGAAAATGGGATAAATCCAACTACAGTACATTATCACTTAGATCCAATATCACTCATATCTGTGACCTTGAGTCCCATGGACTCAGAATCATTAGAAACATTGTATTTATTAGCACATTTTTCTGGCATGTACTGTTGAATAACTATGTGTCTATGGCATTAGAGACTCTCGGACTGTTTTGACATAATGGATGCATTTGGCTGCATTGTGGTGTCATGTCACCATCTCAGTTTCTGAAACTTTCCCTAGGTCACTCTACAGGAAATGTGATCTCTATGACACCCTTTGTTAGCTTCTGTACATGCTGACTGTGGCTTCCGAAAGAGCACTGTCACTTTTCTGTTAGGATGCCACTATTTCCTTCCCTTTGCTGTGGAGCTGAGGGGGAATCTGTTCACTATAGTGATAAACTATCCTATAGTAACAATCCTATGTGGCTTCTTAGCCTCATCTCCAAAGAGCAAGACTCTCTAAGGCCTGGACACTTGCATCTCAAATATTTAGCTGTGCTTTGCAAGTTGCTGGAAAGGGAAAAAACTGTTCAAAGTTATAGCAGTAGGAAATGCTGTCCTGTTAACCTCTAACAATCGCTCTCTTCAGCTTTATGCCGTTTTTGTCCTGTAGGAACCAGTAAATGAGTGATTCTTTGATCAGTCCTGTGGTTTAATTGCCAGTTAGAAGTTTGCATGATAACTGAAAATAAAATTGAGCAGCATGACTTTGGCTTCCTTTGATTCCTATCTGTTAAGTTTATTTTTTCCTACTCAACCTTTATATACCTTTTTTAGAGCTCACTGTTTTTTTTTCTGAAATGCCTCTTCTAATAGTCACTGTTATGGGAATTTTGTTGGTGTTGGTGGTTGTATTTTTTTTTCCTTCCTTCTTCATCTCTGTTCTTCATCTTCTTCATTCTTTTCCTTCCCCTTCTCTCTCTTCTGGCTCCTCTTTTTCTGTTTGTCGTTCAGTATCATAGACTATTCCCATGGAAAATGTTTCCAGTTACCTTTCACAAACGGATGACAAGTGCGAACACAGGAGTGCTGTGCGTCTTCTCTGTCCGCAGCAGCCCCCTCAAAGGGAAAACCTGTTTCAGATTGACTTCAGTGATCTCTCCTCCTCATTTGCCTGAGGCAAGAGTGTTTGTGTGACTTAAAGTAGCAGGTCTGTTGAGAGCAGAATGAATTATTGAATTCTTTTCGTGTGAGGGGAAAAAAAAGACTTTTACCTTTAACCTAAAATAAAGGAGCTGTTTTAGTTTTCTTGCCTGATTATAAATGCTAATTTTTGAAAGTCAGGGAATGAAGTTAGAAAGCTTAACTCATTAAACTCAGTAGTGACAGTGAAATACTTTACGATCTGGACAATAGTTTTGGATATCTGTTGCTTCTGTGATACTTCATTACAACAGTATGGGAATTTTTGTCCAGCCCTGGAGTACGCATAGTCACTGTTGCTGTTATTGGCTGTCCTTTGCCAGTAGAGCCTGTGATAACAAGAACTGTTATACAGCTACAATTTTTTTCTGAATGAGAGAGAGGCCTATGTAATTCTGATGTCACTTAAGGCTTGGTTTAAAAAGTTCTGGTCCTCTACACAGTAATTACTTTCACTGAGGAAGTGTATACATTCTGTCACTTGTGCTAATTACTGATAAGGAAAATGGAGGAAAGCTCAATAATGGAACTTGTTTCATGTGCTTCTCTTTCTTGTACTGACTCAAGCTCTGCAGAGTTTACAGAAGTTACACGGACTGCCTTCTGTAATCATCCTACTTCACTGTAAATTGCTCCTTCTCTTCTTTCCTTCAGCAATTACAAGGTAAGGGGCTCAGGTCATCTCAAAATGCACTTCACGTGCTATGTGGACCAAGTGGCAGGTAGGTAGTAAGGTGAGAGGCCAAGCAGACAGGAAGAAAAGGAAACGTTTCCTTAACTTGGCCACTCACTGTGAAGATTAAGGGAACAGATGTTGTTAAAATATGATGAAAGGGAAGGAGTAACAGCTTGACCGGATTATGGACTTGGATGCACTAGACATACAGTCTGACATCTTAATTCTGATAAGAGGGATTGCCAGCTCTTCTGATCTTCATTCATATAATATTTGGTGGTGGGAAAGTGACTGAGGGATAAATCCAGCATGTTTCCTACTTCCTGGATGTTTCTAGATCTTGAGACAAAGGAGTTCAATTAGTTTTATGATTTTAATGTACTTAATGTCTGAGAGTAGCAATATGGACTATTAAGGGATGAACTCTTAGTTTTTTGAAGAAGGCAACTGGTTCGTTCTGAGATAATATACACGGTACAGCATATAGCAAAACTTTTAAGTGTGTCCTTTGCTTTAGAAATGTACTCTGATACAATTTGCAACTATGTAAATCAGCACCGATTCCCCTGACTTTACCTGCTATGACTTTATATTTACTTTAATATTAGTGGGGTCAAAATTAGACACTTTAAATCTTTCTATATGTCAAAACAACAAACCTAAGAGTACTTAAAGATTGAGGCAGCCTTAAAATTTGCAGAACAGTGGCCGGATGTGAAGAGTGTTGTTTGGAGTTTGTAAGATTTTAGAATTCCTTTCAAAAGAAGGCTAAATTATCCCCTGGGGAATGAAACAGTAATTTATGTCCTCTTGAGCTGCAATGCTAAAAGTGGGATCATTTTACTGAGATTTGATTGCAACTTCACATTAAGCCAGGCTGTCCTTTGGCCATATTGAGTTTATTTTCTTTTGAGATTCTTGACTTTGCTCAGTAATGTTGTTTTGAAATAGCTCTCTTGTCTGTTTCAACTTCCTTGGTACCAGGATCAGGGAATGAATAGGTCAAGTATTTCAAAAGAAGTCTCCATTTGATAAAATGTCAGAAACAATAACCACCTGATACAGAGATGCTGCTTTTCTCAGCCATTCAGACTTTTGTAAGCCATGCTTAAAACCCTTGGAGCAGTTTAAAGTTCATAAGGAAAAATTGCCTATGATCAATTTATAAATCTTTTTTTTAATGTTTGTTTCCAAAACTCATATAAACAGGATTTTTAAAATCTGTAAATACAATTTCAGGCTTAAAAAAGAGCTTAAGATACTGCAGGAATTATTGGAAGGTACTTTGCTTTTACATGTCTAACAAGTAAACTTTTCATTAAGACTCATCAGCAAGTACCTCTTCCATCTTAGTGAAAAAACACATATTGTATGGTATAAAAAAAGCTAAAAATTCCCTTTTTGCCATTTTTTTTTTTTTCTTCTTGGAAAACTGTGTAATGCAAACTTTCCTCACATGACTACTTGCTCCTAGTAGTCTTATGTCAAGTCTCTTCAAGTCACCCTTCAAGATGATGGCCTCTCTTTCAATGAGATACCTGCCTTGGTGATAAGCTTAACCCACTTCAGCATTTTCCAACATCATTAAAATAATAAAACCTACAGAATCATAGTACTGTAAAACACCTGTTTTTTCCAATAAATTTGAGCCTCCCTGAGAATATTTTCATCTATGCTGTGCTTTCTTATTTTGTGTGTTTCTCTTGTATGTGAATAAGTATCTGGAGTGTTACTAGAATCAAACTATGACAGGTACCATTTCTCCTCTATTTATCATGTTTCTAGAAGGAAATTAGATTGGTTTGACCCAATATTAATTGTTGGTGACCCATTCAAAGAATTGCAGACTTCTACATAATATATATTTTTATAGAAAAATCACTGTTTTGGTATATTATTCTCCTCTGGTAAATAAGACTAATAATGTATGAAAGATTCTTTAAGAAAACCAGAGCTTTCTATATACCATGCAGATCATCAGTGATACCCAAAGATAGAACAAGGTGGACCAATCCTGGTCCAACTAGGGGGAACTCAAAGATATTTATTAAAAGTATAAAACATGTGCATGGTTTTCTTTAATCACTCTAATGAACAATAGAAGCAATAAGAAACAATAAGAAATTGAAAATAAGATATTTCAGGAAGCTTAATGAAAGCTTTTCAAAATCACAAAATATCCAGGAGATACAAATTTAAATTGTGGTGAAAGAATTCCATATTTTTTTAATTGGATTCAGTAGCCAAGAGTTGACTATAGAAGTGTTTTGATATAATGTGAGTTGAGATGGGGAGAGCCACCGCTACATAGGTTTAGATTCTTATGTACCTAAGGTTTATTAATTCTAGGAGAAAGATTATGAAGTACGGCTGAACAAATGCTCAGGGAAAAAGTAGGATGGCCAATCATCCCTGGAGAAGACAGTAAGATAAAATGGGTGATGTGATGTGATATTGCAACTGCATACTTTCCCATAGAAGATCTTAAGTGTCAACAGCATTTTCAGAAAGACTTCGTACTATAGCCAGTTCCAGTGCTATAGCCAGCCAGTTTGTGACTGTTAAATCACAAAACAGGTAGTAGTCTTCTGGATTTCAGCAGAAGTGAAGTTCTTAAAGAAATTAAAGCTTGTTTTTTAAAAAAAAAAAATTTCTAGCCCTTGCCATTGTGGGGGAAAACATGACATGTAACCAGAGTAAGGCATGAGAGCTCAGGACAAGAAAGATTTAAAAAAAAAAAAAAAAAAAGAAACTAAGTACTTGGCATAAAAATCAAGATCATGTGGTGGCTGACCTACTAGTCTTTGAGTGCATAGGGGGTTCTAATACTGAAATGTACTGCTAAACCTAAATATATTGTATTAAGTTTAGCAATGCAGAGAAAGAGTGGCCCATAGAGAGTCATATAGCAAACAGATGACAGGGATAGAATGTTTAGAGAGAGGTAATGTAGTATTGATCACTAAAAAGGTTGTCCAATAAATGTAACTCAATCTTTCTTAAAGTAAAGGCATAAATATTAAGAGGAATTAAAATCTGTTAGTATAGAAAGCTAACAGACCAAGGAGAAATGAGCAGCATGAATTGATGGAGGAAAAATCAAGACAGATACATTTGATTAATATTTTGGAGATTGAATTACGGATACCTGCAGTGGAACAGATGTAATTTGTATGGCCGTCAGATCCTGCTCTTATTTATACAGACGAAAATCCCAACTCATTCTAAGGACATCCATTGAGCTTTTCCTAATTGAACTTGGAGAGGGAACAGACCCCTGGCCTTCACTAAAAAAACATTTGCATTGAAAATATTCATTCAAATATGGCCACATTTATTAGCTTAGGGTGAATTCATACCTCACGGAGAGAGGTTAAATATGTGGTTCTGGGGGAAGTGGGAAGGTGAGTTATGGTTAATTATAATGCAAGCTTAACTAACTTGAAGACAAGACAGTCTAAAAGATAAATTCCCAACCTATAGTAAATTTACTTAGAGAGAGTGGCACACTTGAGCAGCTGAGCACTTCAAAACATGTGTTGCTGAGACATGCAATTGCTTTTCCACCCTCCAACACCAATGGCGACAAACATAAGGAGTTTGGGAATCCCAGAGGCATGGTAGCCTTATCCTATGTGTGTCCTGAAAAAGGAACTATCCCACCTCATACCACAGTGAAAAGAGTGCTCCTTAGCTCCTGGGCCAATTGAAGTGGTTTTGGGGCTTTCTGCTCAAAGCTACCTCCCTTCTGAAGTAGTATGCATCCACATTGCGTATCATTTGTCTTTGGGTCTTGCCTAGACATCAAGTGTCTCTTGTTAAGCCTAAAATACAGTTTGTGGTGTGTGCATATGAGGGTGTATTTTTTCACCTTAAAGCATCTGAAAACCCAGCCAGCCAGAGCCATGATTGTTATAACATGAAACAACAGGCACATGTTTTATGACCTAGGATGTGGCATGAGTGTATATTGGGAGCGATGGAGAATGCAAAGCTTGGTGGGGTCAGAGGACTGCAAAGGGTGAAGCCTCATCTGTATGGCAGGGAGTGGTCCTTAGAGTGCTCTTTCCCCAAAGTACTCCCTAGATTTGAAGGGAGTTATGGAAAGCCCCAGAGCAGAGCTGGGGGATGGTTGGGAATTGGCTCCCAGTCCCATTCCAGCATTAGCCTATTTAGCAGGATGCATGCAGATGCATCCTGAATCACCAGGTAATCACAGCTAACTTACTGAATGCACTTGTGCCATGCTTACCATGCCTAAAAAGGGAGTAGGTTCTTTTTTGGGGAATTAAGATCCCCTAGACAATATCTAAACTGCTGATAACATACATACTCAGATTATAAGGGGTATTAAGCTGTGAGGTGATGGGAGACTGAAATTGCATAAACTGATCTGATTGAAGTAGAAATATGGGCAGAAATTAAAATTACCTTGGATAGAAGTTATTTTTAATGCTAAGGATTATTAAGATTATTTTGTAAACAATCCTCTGAAACAAGTTTGGATAATGCTGGGTTTCACATTGCCTATAACAAACTTCAGTTGGTTGTGTGAGGGAGCCAGGAGCATAAAAACACTGGTCTTGAATTAGCATCTTCATTCCCTGACTCCCCTGCTATTGCAGCCCTCCATGGCTACAATTATCTCCATAAAACTGAAACCTAAGATTCAAAGTTATGATGTACATGGGATAGTATAAAGGGATAGAATAATAGAAATTTCATAGGGTCTATGGCATAGGGATATTTTTAAGTATGCTCAATATGCACTGCACCAAAAACTAAGGAAAAGAAGTAGGACAGGAGAGCATATAGTTGTTGCTATATTTCTGGAAGGAATTATTTAATCGCCATGTAACTGTTCACCCTGAGAATATTGCTAATCTGATGTTACACATCAAGAGGCAAGATCTTGATACAAAAGCTATTAAGTGGCAGAATCTTTTTCTTAGTCAACTGCTCTGCTCTAGATGTCTTTTTGTCAGTCAGACACTTCACTTCTCACAACATACAGTGTTCACAGAAGCAAATTTTTAACACAGTAACTCCTTAACTCAGAGGACTGTATAGTCTTTGTTTCTCACTGCTGGATACTCAAGCACTGAGCGTTCAGACCTACAGAAATGGCAGCTCTCAGAAGAAACAAACATATGGTGTGGGTGAAGAAAACGGAGGGTTAATGAGGCTTTTGTCAGATGCCTTTCTCTGCTTGTTGGGTAGCTCTCTTTTTCTAGCTTGCTATTTAACCTACAAGCCTCAGGAAACAGATTGTCTCCATCTAAGTTTGTACAGCTCCTTGCTGTGCATGGGAGCCTTAAATCATAGAGTATTTGCTTTACTGATCACTCAGATTGGCAGATTTGCCTTCTGTACAGCTTTTCTCTCCCTTCCTGGTCTCTAGCAAAAGCATAAAGCTAAGCAGAGAGAAAGTTAATATTAGCTTTCTCCCCGAGCATAGGGAATCCTAAAGAAAATCTCCTCTGAGCATGTAGCAATAGCAGTGTCTACCCAAGACACAAGGAAACACACTGTGCCCCATCCATATGCTTTGTAGATGTATAAGGTAGTCAATGCAGTACAAAACTGCATAGAATATGTTCCAGAACTCAGATTTTCATTACAGGAGAAGAAATACTTTTACTGAACTGTAGGAACAGATAAAGGCAATAACCATATGCCACTCTCCAGCACCTGACTTGAGAGGCAGAAACATTTACTGTGAGGGGAGTTGGGATGAATGTCCCATCCCACTCAGCTCTGGGAGTGGAGTTGTTTCAGTACCCAGTCTCTGATTTGAGGACACTGGTTGATGGGCAGATATAGACATTTGTACACGAGTTCTGCTTTAGTTTTTTTCTAGTCCGGCTCACCCCTTCCTTTGTGCCATGTGAAGGGCATCCAAGGCAAAGGCTCTGCTGCATGTCAGGTCAGTCCTGGGATCAGTCCCTTAAAAACCTGCCATCCTCCTCCCCCCAAGAGAGTAGAAGTTAAAGTATTTCTCAGTGCTAAAAATAGGCAGAGTAGCGTTCTTCATGCAGTTTCTATGCAGTCTGTCTGTACGGGGCTTCCTCCAGTTGATGTGTCTGCAGAGATTCTGACCCAGTGATCTTCCTTCATATCTATTTCTCCACTAGGATCATGTCTCTTGTGACTGAGTCTTTAATGTCCTTCAAGATGAAGCATACGGTTTTGCCATTGCCTGACCAGTCAGAGGGCAAGGGGATGTGACAGCACATTACAGAGAACATTTATTTCCAGGAACTTTACTTTTACTGTAAGAAACTGCCTTTGCGAGCATACCTCTGAAAAATAATCCTTATAGAAAAAAGGATATCTGTTCAGGCCTTCCATCAAATGACTGTAATATCAACTTAATGCAGAAAACTTCCAGCAGGAGACTATTACACTTTCCTGAATAAGTTAATATTATGCAGTCTTAATGGAGGTCTGAAATAGATATTAAAATTAAAGAAAATATAAAAAAATAGGTATTCTACAAAGCTTTACTTGCATTGGTATAAAATCTCACTTTCAGATGATTGCAAAAAAGTAAACTGTATTTTTCAAGCTGGCTTTAATGATCTATCTATATAAGCTGTACTATATTGCAGAAGGAGAGCTCTTCAAATATGACTTTAGCTGATGAATAAAGTTACCATACATCAGTTCTGTGAGATGAACGTATTCAGCTGGATCAAACACTCACTGTGATGACCAGGGCTGAAACGAGTTAGTTGGAGCCAAGGGGTTTTAGGACTTGTTCCATATCAGCCCCATCCCAGTGCAAATCAGCCTTGTATCGATTTTATGCTGCCTGGTGCAATCTCTAAAGAGTCTGTCTGCAGGCTGGAATTATTTGGAGTGTGCTTACTTTCTGCCCCTAACTCGTGCCTGTTAAAATCAGGGCTACACCTGGAGCGAAAGGAAGTAGGTATAAAGGACCAGGCTGCTCAACTTCTGTGTCTGCTAAAGCAGGTGATTTTGATTATTTGTTGTTGGGGGAGGGTTTCTTTCCTTTCCTCCTTCCTTCCTTCCTGCTCCCCTTCTTCTTCTGAAGCAATGCTTATTAATTTATCTTCTCTCTTTATTGGTAAATTATACTAGAACTCAATTTGTTATAACAGCTTCAATTCAATATACTGGTGAGTACTTATTTTCTAAATACTTTGATTAATGATCACTGAGAATTTATCATCTCATTTTTGGAAGCTCTTTGCAGCTGAATTGCAATAGACTTGGAAATGTCCCACAAAATCTGACCTTGTGCTGTTCTGCAACTCTTTAGAGTGACTCATGTATAGTCTTCTTCATGTAGACTTTCTTTATGCTACCTTATGTACTGCATATCAGGTAGCTTAAGGAAATCATCATTACAGCTCTGTGCGTGTGTGTATAAACACAAATGTATACATGGCTCTTGCAAAAGGCTGACAGACAACACCAGGGAATTCAGGGAGTGAGTCTAAATTTGGTCTCTGTACAGGAGAAGCAACGTGAGCTTATTTGGCCCTGAACAGAAGATCTCTGTTTAGGTGGTTTACATGGAATTATTACTCTAGTTAATCATGTTCCTGGGCTTTATATTTCAGAAATGAACACTTAACAACTACTTAAAGTGACATATGGAAATCCTCACAGCATGAACCTCCTCAGTGAAGACCTTATGGCCTATAACTTATGGATTTTATTTTCCTAAACACATCAGACATCAGACTGAAAGGGTTTTGCATGCCTTCAAAAAACACACACAAGAACTACTGCTTGACTGTTACAGCATACTTTCCCTAACCTTACTACTTCAGATCAGATGAATGAAGGTCAGATTCTACTAGCGTGAGTTTAATTGAAGAAATAACACAAGGAATTAAAGAAATATCTTTCAATGCCTAGTATTCTACAGCATTTTCAGATGAGCTTCTTTTAAAAAAGACTTCTTCATGTTGATCTCTTACAAATATGAAAATGGGAGACATTACTGACACCTGAATGCTTTCCATTGCTCTCCTCTAGAGTCCACTCTCACAGTATAGCATGCTAGGGCAGGATCAAATCTAAAAAATAGAAAATATGAATTGTCTTTCAGTTCCAATTTACAACCTAGTTCTTGTTTAGAGGATTAAAGAGCTAACTTAGGCTTACTTTGACTTCATCTACATTTTAGCTGAACTATGAAATAATGAGAAAAGAGTTAGTTAACTGTGTTTTTCTAAAGGTGTTTTCAGCGCTCTCAAGCGCTCTTCAGCGCTCTCAGTGCTCTGCATGTGTCTAGATGTTCATGTTTCAGTGCTGCCGTCCTTGAAGCTCTTTCTTTACAAAACAATGAAGCTAACAATTTTGTTTTTCTAGCATTTTTACAAAGACAAATTCAGCTGCAAAAAGAGACTGTTAAACTAGAGCATCAAAATAACTGCATACTTTATTCAGGATAACAATACAACATGAGTGAAGCTGCAACTTGCAGAAGATGAAAAATGGCATATGGGAATGCACCTTGTGTTAAGCATGTGCTGATGTTTTTCCACTATTGTCATATATTAGCTATGTAGAAAGAAGGCCAGATTGTACCGAGTTGTGGAGCTGTAAGACTAGGGTAATTCTGCTAGCTGCATATTTGCACAAATACAACTGAGGATAGCATTTCTTTCAATATAGATACATGAAGAAATGAATAAAATGGGTTCAATGCAAAAAAGTTAGGAATTAGGCATGAAAATTATTTTAATGGAAGAATACACAGGCTGTATAAAATAAGCATAGAACATATGTTCAAAATATTTTCCTATTGTTTTTATGTGTCTCTTTTAAGCAGGGGGAATATTGGTACTTTTCACAAATAGTATTTTTATTAATTCTGCAGGACAAGGAACTTGAAGATAACTAATTGTTCATATGATCAAGTAAAACACTTTTATCTCTGTCCACTTTCCACTGGACTGATGTTGTTGTCATGGAAATAGCATTTGCAACTAACTTGGTGCCAACTGTAGCAAAGGCCAATCTCAAATGCAAGCGGAGACAGCGCTAATGATGGGTTAAAGCACATAGGCAAGCAAGAGTAAGAAGTTGTTCAGTTTGCCACTTAACAGCTCCCCCATAGTAGATAAAAGGAGTACTTCCTTCTTCTGAGCTTTCAGTCTGTCTCTCCGTTCACTATATTCCCTTTTAAAATTGCGTCTGTTTAGCTTCCCCTGCCAGACATTCTGGCACTGTTCCTCAGGCACTTAAATATCATTACGGATTTGGGCTTCTGAGCCTACATCTTATTTCCCTCTGAGGGGGAGGAAACACTGCAAATAGAGTTAATTTTGATGTAGAGGAAATAAATGCCTTGAGACCTTTTTATTGGATTAAAACTGGTAATAAAAAACAACCTTTGTTCCTCTGCCCCACGAGGCATATATGAGCTGCAAAGACCCAACTGCCTGGGATCCTGTGAAGAGGCTGGTTTAGGTGGAGCGTTTCATGTAGTCATTTACTAGTGGTGCTCAGGATAGTTATTCCCTATTGTACGATTTGTTTTTTGTCCTCTAACAGTATGCATGGAGTGCATACAACCCACTGAGAGCACAGAAGTAGCTGCTTCATAACAGCTTCTGAAACATCCTGTATTTGACATAAATAAAAATGACCTTCAGTATCAATCTCTGTCTCTCTGAACTGCCAGAAACTGACTAGTTATGTTACAAAATGCCAAGCATACAAATCATGCTTTGGCACGAATTTCACCAGTATGGGCAACCTAATTATCGCATAAAGATACTTGAAAGGCAAATATAGGGGTGTGTGTGTGATAATTTTACACATATAGATAGAAATCTCTCCTTTAAAAAAAAAAAAAAAGGCGATGGTATTCTGAGGGGATGCGGAACAAGGAGCGAAAAAACGTCTGCATCATTAAAGTACAGGAGCCTGATTCTGCTTCCATACAGGCATCAGTCAGGGCAGTTGCATCAAAAACAGCAAAGATAAGAGTGACCAATTGCTTTAAATGGAGAACTGGGTGTAGATTGCCTAGCTTATATCTTCCAATGGAAGAAATAGTTTTTGACAGTCTTATTTAACAGTGTCATCATACTGGAAACGGAAGCCGGAGGGTTGATTAGTTTCTCATTTTAAAATCTAAGTCTGATGGGCTAAGACAATCTGATTCTAGTGCTGGCATGCTGTTTCTTGTCTTGTTTTAAAAGTGAAGCTAATCTAGTTGGTTTTGGTGGATAAAAGAATTCTTGTCATTCTGTGTTTTGTATAATCTTTGTGGAAATCATTTCAAGATTTTATTAGTGCATTTTAATAGCTGAAAATACTTTCTGAATGTTAAAAATATGCTATGGGAATTTACATGTGTTTTCTGTGAAATGCTAAAAGCAATTTCACTTTCTTAGTTGCTATATGTCATTGTTTCTTATCGCAGAGTAGATGAGCTGTGCTCTCTAAACTGAAAGTATTCTTGAAAGGGATTAATTCTTCCTCTAGTTCTCTTGCTATTTATTGTCTGTCTTTCCACTATACCAAAGACCTTTGGATCACTCACTACTTGCATTGTTCAGTGTTTTTAATGATCATTACCTCCAACTTCAGTTACTTGCTTATGTCACACCTCAGGTTCACAGCTGTTAGTTTGTGGGGCTCATGACTATAGATGACAATTAAAATTCCTGCCAGTTTTGTCTCCTGTGGGTGTCTCATTAGCTGCTACAGCTTCTAGCAAGTTTTCTATCTCTCTCTCTCTCTCTCTCTCTCTCCTTTTTTTTCCTTTTTTTCTTCTTCCTGCCTCCATGTATGTGCTGTGGTCAGAGAGTTGGCAGCCCTGAAATGAATACTCATGGGTTTTAGATGAATTTCACATGCATGTGCTTCTTCTTTTCAATGTCATATCAAACTTTGAATTGTGTTATATCAAAGTCAGATATTTTTGAAGCTACTTGGTTTCATTCAGTGTTTATAACCTTTTGCTATTCTCCTCAGAATAATCTGGTAAGAGGACTTAGACAGTTGATGTTTATTTGTCACTCAGCAATACAGCATATAGGGTTTGAACCATTTACTCTTTTGTTCACCAGTATTAAGAAGCAACCAGTAACTTAGCATTTTTCTCAGACTACCATAAACAATGTTAATCTATTCGTGGTCCTACAATCTCTTCATTATTTTTCCTAGGTCAAAATATTTTTCACCCTCATTCTATAATGTATCCCAATACACTACAGATGGTTCAGATCTACAAATGTGATCAGGCAAACAATTCTCTGGAACAATGGCTTTGGAAGGATATGTGCTTTCCCTCAGAACTTGCTTTTATTTTATGGAATAATATTTTCCGTAACTCCATTTGGGGAGTAGGAACTATCCTCTAGTTCTGTCCTCTGTTCACTAGCAACACTGCAATCCTTTCTGCGTGGCTCGGTTAATCTTGCTGCAATATTGCCGAGCTTTAACAAGAGGAGGTGTGGAGTGCCCCTGAGAGCATAGCTGGCAACTGCGACGTTCCCATGGGAGAGGGAAGATGCCGCTTTTGTGCAGAGGAGACTACTCCTTTTCTTAAGCTATCGAGTAAAATGAGGTGATAGATCTCTGGCAGTAGTTTACTTGGAGAGAATGAGCTTTCTTCAGCTCTTGGAAGAAGTAGACTACAGGGCCCCATGGGTCCTCGGTAATTGGAGGTGGTTCTCTGCAGCAGCCTGAGGGCTGAGTGTTGCAGGATGGGACTTAAAATGACCCTCTGGGCATTTCCTTGTGGTTTAGCTGCAGACAGCTGTGTTGTGTGCACAGTTCTTTGCATAGCAGTTATTGTGGAGCCCATCTGAGGTTGTCCAAATCTCCCTTCCACGTGGAGCTCAGACACTATGCTGGGGTTTTTGTACTACTGCTCAAGGGAGAGATACCAAAAAGCTAGATAAGGTGCAGTGATTGTATTTCAGGACCAAACCCCAGTAGTCCTTAAAAGTCTTGCACTGGAGCTTACACATTAGCTCATTAGTATTACACATTAGCTCATTGCTTTACATAATTGGATTGTTAAATATATTTTCAAACTGAAAAGCATAAAGACAGCGGCTTATTGTGCAAGTCTGTCTGCCTTGAGTGAAATACAAGCTTCATCACCTACCTGCTTTAGTTTTACCTCTTTAGCAAACTCATTTTCTTCAAGAAAGAAAATTAAAACCTCTTTAAATTAAGCTTTTTCACTACAGCTGTACACTCACCTACTGACTGTTTAAAAATACAAAGCAGCATTTCAATCTTCCATGTTGTGATTGCAATGTGACTTTTACAGAATTTGCAGAGCCAAAGATCTCTTGTGGTGCATTTAATCTAGACTAGCAACAATTCAGAAAATCTTGCCTAAGAATCACAAACACAAAGAAGGAGAGCTCGCTACAGAAAGGAATCTGATGTATGCATTTGGGCTTGATTTGCCTAAAAACTTTGCCATTTCTGGGCTTGTTTCTGCAAATGTGCCGAACACTGCTGAACTGTAATTTTCTTCTCCCTGCTCCCTCAGCACCTTCCAGCTTTCAAGCTTCAATCAGAAGTTCAGTGAATAGGAGACTTCTTATCGACTCCTACAGTTTCTTGTGTTGGATCCAGTCAGTGATAGCCAAAAACTTTCTGAGCTAGACTATTTTGTCCTCTGTAGCTCAGGTATTGATTCTGAGTTGCAATATGGATATTAATGGATATTAACTCTGTCTTATTCATTATTAATTTAAAAGCAATTTTTGTTTTGTTTTTAAATCAGCTATTCTGCATCCTTTGCTGCTGAAGAATAGCTCTACAACTATTTGTATCTTCAACTGGAAACAGAGCAGGAGGTGATGACCTTCGTTAGCTTGAAGTTTTTCTTCAAGTGCACTCTGGATTATTAACCAAGAAAAAATGTCTGTCATGAATACAAGCTGTTTTTTTTCCTAGAGATCTATTAAAAAGCCTAAATAATTCTTTTCCCCTTTATTTATGTGCAATGGTGGTGTGAGGGATGTTTTCTGTTCATCTGTTCTATATAATAAATGTGGCTGATAACTGAAATCAGAGGACAATGAACACTTAGCAA